CTACACTGTCCCCATCAAACACTCCCAGGACAGGGACAGCACGGGGTGAGATACAGAGTAAAGCTCCCTCTACACTGCCCCCATCAAACACTTCCAGGACAGGGACAGCATGGGGTGAGATACAGAGTAAAGCTCTCTCTACACTGTCCCCATCAAACACTCCCAGGACAGGGACAGCACGGGGTGAGATACAGAGTAAAGCTTGTTTTACAGAAGGAGGAAAGTGAAACGGGGGGAAGGGACAGTTCTTGCTTTTGTTTGACACAGCCAGAAGCTATGCACACTCCAAGAGCGAGTGTCGGGTATGAGTCAAATGATTCCGCATCTTTCATCATTTCCATCTGTTCAGAGCTGTGTCTGTGCTGCCAAGCCTGACTCCTGGCATTGGCCTTATTTCCCAGGGAGGGATTCGGATGGTTAGGGGGTGAAGTAGCATGGAGCTCAGGCAACTCAACGGAGATTCAAGACACACCAGCTGGAATCCAATTGAATGGCAGACTAGAATTGAGAGAGTGAATGGCCTCTTCCTATTCCCACTCTCAAAGGGCCATGAATCTATGGAAAACTCTGTGCCAGATGAATGCAAGGACACTAAATAAATTTACAGGAAGAGAGAGACAGATTTTTAATGAATGATGAGTTGAAGGGTTACAGAGAGTGGGCAGAGAAGTGCCGTTCAGACCAGGATGCGATCAGCCATAATCGCATCAAGTGGCAAAGCAGATCGAGGGGCTGAATGGGCTCCTCCTCCTCCTAGTTCTGGTGTGATGGTCACGTGCCCACCTCTGGGTCAGGGTTCATGACCTCTGACCCCGATGGAATGGTTCCTTCGGGGAACATCGCTCTGGGAGCATCAGAAAAATGAGGATCGGGGTGAGTGATGATGTTTTCCACAGCTGAATATCCAATAGGAGAGGGCAGTCCAGGCCTCTCAGACTTGTGGGAGGAACTGCTCGGGTTAGGAGTCCCACATGGGGTTGGGGGTGGAACGAGAGGACATTGAGCTGAACTGGAACAAACTAAAAATAAAATTAGCCTGTGACGGGGTTGAGAAGGTTCGACAAGAGGGTCCTCAAAGGCATGATCCAGAATGTTCCATCCCAGTGAGGATGAGCAAGATTAAGCTGTAGCTTTCAGATAAAATAAAGAGGATTGGGTGGATTTTTGAAAGTACGAGATTTGCAGGGAGAGCTTCCAAAGAGGTGTCCCTTCAAGGAGAGAGTTTCTGAACTCCTCTCCCTGAGAACATCAACAAATCTTTGAGTATGGGAGTTGGGACTTCATGTTGAGTTTGTATGGATGTTGGTAAGGCCTCTTCTAGAGCCCTATGCCCAGTTCTGGTCACCCAGCTGTTATAGGAAGGATAGTACTAAGCTGGAGA